ACCCCTCCCATACACAGTCTTAATGGAATTGCCCTCTATTAGGCAGACCCTCCCCCCCTCCCCAATTCCAGGACCTACGCCCACCTCGCCGAGGCCTTCAGCCGGCCTGGGAGAATTAATTTCAGTTTGCCCACCCCTCTCCCTGGAACCCCCTAAAACCCGGACTAAAAATTTGATTAAAAATCCCCTTAGGTTGCGTAATAATTGGTAATTTTCCATTAAGTTGACATAATGTCATAGAACAAAAACTAATGATATATGGGTTATCAAGAGAGTTCATACAATCCTTGGGTTATGATACTGCCAAGTATACACTTCTGCAAAGATTAAATGATACTGAGCTCCAGGTGGAAGTAAATAGCTTGGAACAGGGAAACAGGATCTGGCTACAAAGCGTTGTTGGGAAGCTTCCTGTTTATAGTGCTGAAGTTTTTCTAGGCTAGGTATAATATTTGGTCTAAGAACCAAGAATGAAAACATGCTTGCCCATGTGGAATAGCAACAGTCCAACATGGGTTATTTTACTTCAGTATCTATAAGATATTAGTAATGCATCTTACCCCTGCTTTGTCAATAGTCTAGAACAGGGGTTCCCAACCAGGGGTGCTCGCACCCCCTGGGGCTTCGAGATGATATTCCAGGGGGTGCGAAAACTTGGCTTTTCAAAATTCTAGTGTATATGCATAATTCGTTGCCGTTATTTCGAACTTTTGTAAGGGGTGTGAGAATATATCAGAAGCGTTCTAGGGGTGCGGGGTATAGAAAAGGTTGGGAACCACTGGTCTAGAAGAACAGACAACTTTTGTGATTTTTTTAAAATTTTCTGGCCTGTGGCTATAATGAAGTCTGTTCCTCTGTAACATACACCCATCAGAGCAAGCTAAAGTCTTTCCACTCTCTAGAGGTCACTTCTGAAAACTTTTTTGTAGGGCCTTCTAGACCCAAAGTAGTATAAAACTGGCCAATAACAACTCAGCATGGCATTGGCAGCCTCTTACCCCCCACCCCAAGAGTTGGTCACCTAAAGTGAATCCAAATCTTTTGCATTAGACTCCATACCACAAAGTGCTCAAGATGCAAGTTTGCTCCTTTGAACCCAACAGGTTCCACCAGAAGAGCCTTGAGATCTAACTAGCTGTCAGAATTTCTCATTGAGTTGGCAGCCAAATTCAACATGAATTCCTTGTTCTAGAAAGAGCATGCACACAAATACATATTAGCTTCAGCTTACTTTTCTTCTCAGATCCATATGACCAGTCATTATCATTTATGTCATCATTGTCCTCTTGATCACTCTCAGATTTGTTCATGTTGTTACTACTTGCTATCCTGCAGCACGAGGAACAGGAAAGAAGAAAAAGGGTTCAATGTCATGGTTCCGATAGATGAAACCGTTTACAAGAACTTCAAGGCAAAAATTTCTTCCTTAAAGATACATTTTATTAGGAAACAAAATATCGGCACGTACATATGTGAACCCAAGACTAAAAATCCCCTCCCGTGGTTACAAAGTTACTATTGCAATTCTCACCCCAAATTGCTGTCATAAATCACATTCACCAATTGTTGCAAAACACGGGCTCTCCTCCCAGCTCTCCAGCCCGCCAAAATGTTATCAGCACTGACCTTGGTTCTCACACATAGGAATTGTTTTGGCTAACTGAGAACTACACACCCATTTTCCTTCATCTAAAATCTCTAAACTAAAATGTGGCAATGAAGACAAAATGAAAATGGCTTCAGTTCAGTTTGTCAGAGTGTTGACATTCAGCTCCCCTTAAAAGAAAGGAGAAATCCTGCAAATCAAACAAGAACAAAAGTTAAGAATCCCCCCCCCCCAGTTTGTTTGGATGTTTATCACAAAATTTACATATAAGTCTATCAGCTTTCACATCAGCACACTTCACCCAGGTGGCTTCTGATAATGGATATCCCTTCCACTGCACTAAATATTGCAATTTCCCTTTATACAATCTTGCATCAAGAATACGCTTCACTTTGTAATGAGTCTCTCCAGCCACCACAAGCGGACCAGGTGCTTTCTTAGGAGGGGGGTCTCATAGTTGAACCTCTAAAAGGCTTCAACAAACTACAGTGAAATACTGGGCGGATCTTTCCCAAAAGACGAGGGAGTTTCAGTTCTACAGTAACTGGGTTTAAGATCCGCACTATGGGAAAAGGTCCCAAGTATTTCGGTCCCAATTTTTTGCTAGGTAACTTAAGTCTTAGATACTTTGTAGAAAGATAAACTTTTCCCCCCACACGAAATGACTTTTGAGGTGCCCTTTTCTTATCAGCTTGCTTTTTGTAAATTTCTGAGACTTTTTTCAAAGCTTTCTTTGCATTGTCCCAGACATCTCTCTAAGCGGACACCCATTGATCTAAAGTCTGAGAGGCAGGGGGTTCCTGGGGATATTCAGGCATCGGAATGAAATCCCTCCCTGTGGCTATCTTGAATGGTGTAAAACCGGTGCTGCTGTGTACAGTGTTGTTATAAGCCACTTCAGCAAAAGGGAGATCAGTCCAATTCATTTGTTGATAATCCACATAGCATCTAAGATACTGCTCCACCATTGCATTCGCTTTTTCAGCCGCTCCATTCGTAGAGGGATGAAAAGCCGATGACAGTCCTTGTGTAGCACCAATCAATTTGAGAAAATCCCTCCAGAATCTGGCCGTAAATTGAACCCCCCCCCCCCGTTGGAAATTATCCATTTTGGTGTTCCGTGTAATCTGTAAATATGCTTGAGGAACAACTTAGCCAATTTCTGGGCAGATGGGAGGCCTGAGCAGGCAATAAAGTGAGCCTGCTTTGAAAAAAGATCAATCACGGTCCATATTACCGTATTTCCTCTACTTTTCGGTAACTCAACAATAAAATCCATAGCGATCTCTTCCCATGGTTGGGACGGATCTGCGACAGGCTGTAACAGCCCAGGGGACTTTCCTGGGATCCTTTTCATGGTAGCACAGACTGCACAGCTTTTTACATAGTTCTCCACATCTTTCTTTAAGCATGGCCATCAAAATTGCCTCCAAATTAAGTGTAGTGTCTTTAAGTAACCAAAATGACCAGCTTGTTTAACATCATGGCTGCGTTGGAGTGCTTGAAGTCTGAGTGATTCAGGCAAATATAATTTACCCCCTTTCCAAGCCAATCCATCCTTATAGGTCAGGATAGTTTGATTGTCCTTGAACCATTGGTCATTTATCAATTCTTGTTTTAACTTCTCTGTCAAAGGATCGTTTGGGTTAGGAGGTTTCGCGTGTTGTTGCCTCTGAGGGGTTATTTGAGAAATAACTTGAGGTGGTGGCATAATAGAATCTATGACTTGTTCACGTTGGTTTTTGTATTGGAGCAATCTAGAGAGGGCATCTGCTAAGAAATGTTTTCCTCCCGGTAGGTATTTTAAGGTGAAATTAAAGCGATTAAAATATTGCGCCCAGCGCACTTGTTTGGGAGATAGTTTACAGGGAGTTTTCAATGCTTCTAAGTTTTTGTGATCAGTCCATACTTCAAAAGGCACCTTACTTCCCTCTAAGAAATGATGCCACGTCAGCAAAGCCCATCTAATTGCAAAGTCTTCCTTTTCCTAAACAGCCCATCTCCGCTCTGTGTCAGTGAGCTTTTTTGAAGTGTAAGTGCAGGGCTGTAAAATTCCCTCATGATTTTTCTGTAACAGCACTGCCCCCACAGCCACATCACTGGCGTCCACTTGAATAACAAATTGCTCCTCAGGATGAGGGTGTTTTAGAACTGGCTCAGCTGCAAACAGTCTTTTTAAATTCTCAAAAGCGGTTTGGCATTTTAACGACCAGAGCAAAGGCTGACCTGGTCGTGGTTTCCCTCCATCTTTTCCAGTTTTTAATAGCTCCGTAAGGGGTAAGGCAATCTCGGCAAATGAAGGAATGAACTGGCGATAGATATTAGCAAATCCCAAAAAACTTTGGAGCTGTTTTCAAGTTTGTGGGGGCTGCCATTCTATCACTGCTTTCACCTTAGCTGGATCCATTTCAATGCCTTCGTTGGAAATTCTGTAGCCCAAATAATCCAAACGCGTCTGATGGAATTCACATTTTGAAATTTTGGCATAGAGCTTAGCGTTCAGTAATTTTTTCAGTACCTCTTGCACTAAGCTTATGTGTTCTGTCATAGTGTCTATATAGATAGGATGTTATCAAGATACACCAAAACCCCTTTGTACAAATGATCATGCAGCAACTGCATGAAAATGGCCGGAGCTCCGTGTAATCCAAATGGCATAACTTTGAACTGATAGCTACCCAGAGGGCTGTTGAAAGCAGTTTTCCATTCATCTCCTTCTCTTATCCTCACGCGGTAGTATGCCTCTCTTAGGTCTAATTCGGTAAAAATTCTTCCCTTCGCCAGATGTGCTAGAAAGTCCTTCATTAAAGGGAGAGGGTATATATTCTCCATGCTCACCGCGTTCAGACCTTTTAAATCAACGCAGAGTCTAAGCGATCCATCTTTTTTCTCCTTAAAAAGCACAGAGGCAGCCACTTTGGACTTGGCAGGTTCTGTTGTGATTCTTCACCAGCCAGTGGATCTGGCAGCTGAGTCTGAGGACTCAGATGAGGAGGAGGGGCCTGGAGTGACATTAGAGTCAGAGGAAGGCTCTGAGGAGCTGCAAGACTTACGGTCGGACAAGGAGCCTGGCCCCTCTACTTGCGCTCGGGATGAGACAGCCTGAGTTGGACAGCGATGAGGAACAGCTGGGACAAATCCCAGATGCACGAATGCGCAGAGAGGAGAAGCGAGTAGGACAGAGGAATGCAATGGGGCAGCTCCATAGGCAAAGGAGAAGGCATTAGGAAGCCACGCCTTGGCTGAATTATAAAAGGGGAAGGTGTGGGAGGTGCTGGTTGCCGAAGGCAACTGTTCGTGCTGAGGATCGAGTTTCTGTGGACTGTGTTTGTTTGCCTTGGACATTGACTCAGGTCTGTGAAAATAAAAGGGATTGTTCTTTTCTTACGGTTCCTGCCTGTTTCTTGGAAGAGGGATTTCTCGTTGTGAGTACAGCAAGGACTCACGTAGGCTGGGACAGAACAGGTTCAATAAAACCCCTCGCTAAATTTTTATCAATGTACTGCCTCAATTCTTCCACTTCAAGGGGGGGGGGGGTCACTGCATACATCTTTGGCTTAGGTAACTCAGCTCCTGGTAGAATCTCAATGGCACAGTCACTGGGTCTATGGGGTGGCAGGAGGTCACATTCTGCCTCACTAGATACTTCTGCCAAGTCTCTGTATTCACTGGGAATGAGAGGCACTCCTGGCAGGGAGTTCGTCACCACTTTTAGTGTCTCAGATGGTGGTTTTGCTGCCCCGCTGGCATTGTGGGAGGAGTTGGGGGGTGATGGTCCTATGGGTAACCTCAGGGTTCTCATTCCTTCCTCCCACATCAGGGGTTTCCACTTGTCCAACCAAGCTAAAGCTAAAATCACTGCTTCAGTCATTTTTGGAGCTACCACAAATCGGATAAATTCCCAATGTTCCCCTACCTCTAGTCACACCCGCTCCGTCAGGTGGGTTATTAAGGTTCCGCCCATTAAGGATCCGTCTGCCTGCTCAAACTTCATGGGGGTGGAAAGCTGTCTTGCCCTGATGCCTAACTTGAGGACAGTCGGGAGGCTGATTAGGCATCGCAAACACCCAGAGTCTACTAACACCCTTAAGTCCATTTGGACGCCCATCTTGGGAACTATGAGTTTGGCAGAGAGGGAAAAAGTGGAACAGGCTGACTCACCATTGGGTCGTTCTCTCCCTCATCATCGCTGTCATATGGAGCAGGTGAGATGGCAGCTTCAGCTGGAGCCTCGACCCTCTCTTGAGTAGGTGAGGTGACTTGAGTAGCTTGCTCCTGAGTAATCCAATTCGGTTTCTCTCTAGCGGGCGGCTGGCTTTCCTTTTTCCTTTCTGGTGGAGCTGAGGTGTTTTTTTGCTGAGGGAAAGGAACTGGACAAACCGCCGCCCGACTGGCCACATCTAAAACACTTGATCGGTAGTCCCAAAGGTGCTTTTGAAGGTTCAGTTGTCCCTGTCAGTGGGGTTCGTTGGGCAGGTGGACGTCGTGTCTGGTCTGGTCTTGGTCCAGGTCCAGAGGTTGGTGGTTTCTTGTAGCGAGTTAGCTCGATGTCTAAATGCACGGCCAAGCAATACCACTCCTGGAGTTGATCAGGGATCCCCCGGTAGACACAAGCCTGGAATAGATCTGGGTCCAGACCGTACTTGAAGTGATGAACCAGGGATCGTTCAGGCCACTGCTCAATTCTGCCAGCCACTCTTCGGAATTCACAAACATATTCCTT